TGTTAGAATTTCAATCTAAACGGTTGATTTCAAAATCCTTTATTACTATTTCAAATCACGTTTTTAAAGTCTTGAGTTTTCAAATCAAATCGTATAATTTTGCTTCTATACGTTCTTGAATTTATACTTTACTTTGTATACAGGCAAAAATAATACAAATTTTATAGTGAAAATTGAAAATTATCGAAACAGAATTTTAAAAGTATATTATGTATTCAGATACATTTTAATCCAAATCCCAAATAAAGCATTAACCATAAAAAATTTCAACATGATTATAAGTACGAAGTAATTAACATGCACCTAATATATAAACATAATTTTGAGTAGCATATTATCAAAAAACTCTACAATATAAATAGATAAATATTTCATGGTACTGTGATGCTGATAAAGGATAATTTACCACACAGTTTACATAATTTAAAGACATCAATAAAAATGATACATTTTGCACATAAAAGTCATCTCGCTTCGCAATTCCAAAAGTTCATGGTATATTCACATTAATTTACATAAGCAGCCAAAAGTTATTTGTAAAAATCCAGAGAATAGAAACGAGTATACTTCGTTTAAAACGAAATCGTTAATTTTTCATTTTCTCAATTATTGCCCGTCTCGAGCCTAAAAGAAGCAGATAAAATTTCTTTTCACGTCCAGTAATTATCGGAACAATAATAATCATATCGCATGATTCATTCTCTCTTCCGTTCTTTATAATCCACAAGAATATTTAAACCCGACTTCCCCTCGCCAATACACGTTCGTAACAGTCAGCCCTCCCGCAGAATAATTAAGGTCATGTTCCACCATCAATTCCCATATGGTATATTTAAAACCCGCAACTGAAATCATGGTTGTCGAACGCCCACGCGAGGCAAATACATAAGTCGCGATCCAACAAACGCTGTGAAAGTAATCGTACGATCTTGTTCTTGATTTTCAGTCAAAAGAGGCAACAACAACAGTATCACCACCAACAGCAGCAGCAACAACAACAACAACAACAACAGCAGCAGCAACAGCAGCACCTTCATCAGCAACAGCGTCAAAATCAGCGTCAGCATCAGCATCATCATCAAAATCAGCTTCAACATCAGTATCAAGATCAGCATCAGGGCCACAATCAAAATCAACATCCGCGTCCACATCCACAACCACATGCGCATCAACGCCAACATCAGCACCAACATCAGCATCAACATCAACATCAACATCAACATCAGCACCAGCATGCCTCCTGGCACAGGACCACTTTAGCATCCTGACCACGGTAACCTTGACCCTGACCACAAGCCAAGTATTAGTCGTGCTGTACATGGAGAAAGGATTTCCACTAGCCAAGAATACGTATCGGCGAGATTCCTTTTGCGGTCCCGCCTCGAAAAGAATCCTAAAAGTGCTATCGCGACGAAGGGAACGCGGTGCGAGCCTGCAACCAGTGTTTCAACACACGCCGAGCATCTATTTCGCCGGCTTCCCCGTGATTCTCTTCGTCAGAGCTCGTCCCTTTGATCATCTTTGACGCATAGGTTCCTCTGTGCACCGTGGACACTCTGTCGAGTGATTCTGCACTCTTCGTAATTTCTTCTCTGAGAAGTTTCTATCGCGAGTCCGTTTATCGAGTCCCCCCCTTGTTGCTCGATGCTACGAGGCTCTTTCGAACCTTGGAGAACTTTTATCGCCGAATTTTCGTCACTCTGTCTCACCGGTAAAAGGGCCCAGCCATTTTGTTGTTTAACGCTTCGATCGCACAGTCATTTGCTTCGCTGTTACTGCGCCGTTCGATTCATAAACGATCCCGTAAAATCTGGCTCACTTTAAATCCGTTGCAAATCAGGTTAGTTGCTTTATAAACGGGTCATACAATTTCGACGAGGTTGGAACCCGGGGAAATTGCAAAGAGCGATCAACGTGTGAACGGAAAAAACTATTGTAGTATTTCGTCGTAGACGCTAAGAACCCCCGTATTTCTAAGAATTTGTAATCATTATAGACTGCGGATTTTATGCATTCATGGCAGAAATGAGTAGATCAGGCACAGAACACTGACGCTATTACAAAAATTTAATAATTCCATTATATCATAACTCGTTAAAATGATTGAAAACATAACTAAACGTTCATGCAGTTCCTGTTTCTCGCAACGGATGTAGAACATTTTTATGTCGCATAAAGATCCGCAGTCTAGTAATCATCGACACCGAATCTCAAGAACATCTCACTCTTGTTATTTATATTAATTTACCGATGTTCACAGCCGAATTTTGATTTTAACGGTGTGACTTGCGACGCGGGCAAATGATATGTTGAAATATTCAACAACGATCAACGCGTAGATTTCGTAATGTAGGAACAGTGATAGATAATATATTAACATAAAGACTCCGTAAGAAATCCGTTCGGATACGTTTAAGTTTCGTTTATTACTGCATATAGAAATTTGTTCTTCAAACATTATTCCAATGTTATTAAGTTTGCCTATGAGTTGGTGCATAATTCTGCGAATTATTAGTCGAGAGAATAATTTTATAGACAATACGTTATCCTTTATTTTCATGTTTTGAATCTACAGGAATGAAAGATTATGACTTCGGTGCAATAGGCGGTCATTTTTGCCGGTGGTCGATATTTTGTTGAACATGGTTTTACACCTGCGGACGTAATGCAATGCCGGAGTGAACGTTCGAACGATAAAGCTGGCAAAAAAGGCAAAATTACGTGTAACGAACAGACTGCGGATTTTATGCATTCATGAGAAAGAAATTCACAGTTGCAATTTAAAGTAGTCGGAACATTAGAAGAACTGATGCGTATCGACTCGCTGACGTTATCAATAATTTCTAAGTGACTCATGTTTCTTACGAGAAACGCACAACATCTTCATTTTGCACGAAAATCCGCGGTCTAACGATGAAGAAACGTCTCGTTGACATTGAATAAAAAGCACACGAATTTGGAGATCGAAATTCTGCGAATTCATATTAATCGAGTAAAAACTAGAAGAACGATCAGCTTGCGCAGGTTGCTGAGAGATGTGACTCACTCGTTCCTTTTAAAAGAAGTAGAACAATCCAGCGTAGTGAGTAGCAAAAGGTATTTACCCGCAGACAAATAGAGTGCTAAAACTCTGGTTAAGATAAAGCGTGAATTCCGAGCAGGGTGTAAATAAAAATCACGTATTTCTCGTGCTGTGCGTAGTGCAATTTATCATAAATGGATGCGTTTTCATTGATACCCGATGCAACTTTGCGGCGGGCAACCGTAGACGAACGATACAATGGTATAAGTTATTTCCCGAACACACAGTGAGACCGTTGTATTTTATATAATTTTTGTTGAACTGCACGATCCTTTTACGAATTAGGATCTCAATATTCTAAGAGTATTAGAACAAGTATCGCTGGCATCTACAAGGTTAATACTACCCCCGGATAATTGGAATTACAAGAACGGAAAGTATATAGTATATATTTTATATGCTACAACTTAATAACAGTATTTTCAAGTAGATCATTTTGCTACCGTTCACAAGATTAATTAGACATCGTCTACAGAGTGTCGAGATTGTAACGTACTGGTAAGGTGTTTTACGAGAAGGGAGTCTTGACCTTGTAAACGACAATGCATTTGATCTTTACTTCGGAACCCGGTACGCGCTTGAAAATTTAATTCAATAGTTTTGAAATATTGCCGTCAGTTCGAAAAGATGTAGTATAATCTTTATAATAGAAACGTCAATTTTGTCAACGAGCAATTGCAGCACGTATAAATGCATCATTACAATAAATATGAGTGTTTTGAGATGATCGATTGATGTCACAAAAATCTAAAACGATTATTTAGTAATATCTTTTAATGATAACATTGCAGAAAATTTCTACAGTTTTTTGTCTAAAATTAGTCTTCATATCTTCCTATTTTTTTTGGTAAAGTCCTTTTGTTTATTGTAAAACATAACTGTCCGAACTGGATTGCCTTTTCAATATTTTAAATAGAATTATTTAATTTTTTCCGTTGACGTGATCCCAAAACAACCATAAAAGTTTCGAATCATTTAAACTCTAGTTTTACAATTTACATAATCAGTTCTACAATTTTAGTGTCTAGCTTTGCAATTTTTAAAATTAGTTTTTAAATAAATGTAAAAGAAATTGTTAAAAAGAATTCTGATGCATTGATCAGTATTTTTGGAAAACCCGGTTGAGAATTCTTATTAATTTTGCATCGATGTTAAAGATTCTCAACGATTAAATCGAGAGATTCCACGTGGACCATCGGTGGTTCACAAAACATCTCACACAACTAATAAGACCAGCACAGATAAAAATTGAGAATACTATTCCAACGAAGTATGTTACTTTTGTTTAAAAACTGGTAGTGACATAATTCCATGAAACGTATTTTCATAACGATTTCTTTCGTTATTTCAGAATAAACATTTCTTTCGAAAACAGTACCTGAATTGAAGACAAAAACTGCAAGTGCGTACTAACAAGTATTTACCGGCGTAACGTGTTTCGCGCAAAATGAAATTCCAGGCAACAAGAATTAATCAAAAAACGACTTATAATAGTTAACTGTAAAATAGTAAGTTTAATTGTAAATGGTACCAGTCACCCTTCTAAGATAACGTTAGAAACTAAATATCGCTTTCGACCGGACTGTTCATGCAGCACGAAACGCGTCAAGCATACACGTTCGAATAAGCACTTCTAATCTTCGCTGAATCTTTAATTGCGTAGTGAAAATGAACGATTGTTGCAGTTAGCAACGAAATATTATTTCTATTATAGGTACGAGATATGTTTGAAACGAACCGAATGTTCCCCATTGATTAATTTAATTCGAGAGTTACGTTTTCCATTAAGTTTCATTTAATGCTTTGTTCTTGCGTTCTCTTTGAACAAGCAACATTATTGTTACTCGACCACTGTTGTACTCTGTTCATAGTATAAATAACTTTCATGTCGAGTATCCGACGAACAAACCGTACATTTAAGTAAACCAACGTGCAATAACCTTTTCATGTGAACTTTTCACGAGAAATCCTTGCTGTCCGATCGGGGCAAGCATCCATGAAATATAAAAATTAAATATGTTTCGCTGCTTCGTTGCAACACACAATGACTTAACTCCGAAATCAAAAATACAAGGATACATATTACTCGCGTATCCAGGACTAAAGGAGTCACTGTCGAGACAGATCAGCAATTTGCATCCTTGCATCTAGCAAGTCGAGTTTACATGAAAAAGTATTAACCTAATAATTTGCGTGTATTAATGACGAAGCTGCACAAGTTCTAAAGCATAAAATTACCGCGGAGATCATTGATACAACAATCCGTGCAAACACTGGAGCATAATGATAGCCGACTTAAACGTTTCGCGTAATCCATCGGACAGATTTCATTCGAAAATCTTCGTCGTGCCTCGAAATCGATGGAGCCTCTCGTATCGCTTGTCACGAAGAACTTAATATAGCCGTCGTTAATTGGGTCAAATCAATTTTTTATAACCTAAATCCGCCGAGGTTTCAGTTGACCCGTGTGCTCGTTCGTTAACAAAAGTTTCAACTGTATGTCGCAGAAATGTATTTCCATCGAAGGTTAAAGAACGAGTTCGACATGTACGCATATATATATTGATCACGCAAACGCCCATCTGTTGAGCATCGGCAAAAGATGACACGAATATGCCGGCGACATTAATCGCGCAATTAATCGCGCGAGGCTTTTAACGACCAATAAACCGAGACAGCAATAAAAAAACTAGAACTTCGCCGGGCTGTTTCGTACGACGGAGCACGCATGAAATGTTGTCTTTGATATTAGTTATCGATTTACCGAATACGTAATGTGATTTAATGTACTCCGATCTGTAGACATAAGTCCGCAACAAAAAGCCCACACGTCGATCGAATGCTTAATTTAACGCGACCTACGTCAGTTTTAAGAGTTTCCAATTTAACAATAATAACGAACAAGAAACATCATTTTCTTGGCGTATACATACCAAGTAGCTTCATTTCCAATCATTCATTACGAAACATATCATACCTATATAGTGTAAATAATTACCATTTTTTATTATATTATAAAGAGTCCCCCTGTGTGTGCTACAAAAGTACGTGTAAACAATAGGTGAAAATGGTAACGGAATCATATTTCGTTTCGTCAGATTTGCAAGTAGCCGCGATTGTTAAATAAATTATTTTCGATACCTTTTAGTCTTCGTAAGCGCTTGAACGAATATATGTTACGCAAACAAGATTAGTCACTTTTTGCACACGCGATATACATACATGCGTACATACATAAATATGCCAAACATCCGTACGTTTGGATCGGAAGAGTTCAAAACACTCTTTAATTTCCTGAGAGAGTGAATTATTCGTCTGTTCGTTGTATTGCTTATAAACTCGACTCCGACAAGTGTGATCGAAGTGATTCAGACTATTTCAGACACGATCTATTGCACGACCGTGCGTTGAGGAAACGGGAAAAAATGTGTGACTATGTGCGTCTGAAACGACGAAAATAGGTGCTATTCGATAGTTAAATGGGAACGAAAACAAAAAATGTATTTCGATGAACAAAAGGCACGGGAAAAGCGTATAGGTAGATCTTTTAGGTAGAAAATATTTTACATATTGTATACATAGGACACACAGATTGTACCGCGTAACAATGTATGCACAATTAAAGTGCACCTATTAAAGAGGACTTCTAAATAACGTTTCTCGGTGGTTGTTAATCATTTGCGGACAAATGTCGATTTATAATCGTACACATACGTTCAATTATAATTCGATGAAATTCGATGAATTTTAACTTGTTTCGTACAGTTTTTAAAAAATATAAAAATTGTATTTCTATAATTATTATTCGATTCATTTATTTACCGCTGTAATTAATAAGTCAGATCAAAATCGTAAGTATCTTACATTTACAGTATTTAAAAGTAACATGAAATCGAAATTCTAATTTTGCCATCCTGTAATCTTCGAACAATGCGATAGTAACATTGTAACACTACTGTGCATGTAAGAGAATTTAATTACGATCTTTCACCTGAGGAATAATTGATGAAGTAAAATGGAAATCTAATTAACATCTGCAAAGGTGTTAAACAAATATGAAGAGAATTTTACCATAACATTGGTATGTCTTGAAATTTAGACAAAATCGAGAGTAATCTTTCGTATTATATAACGCAATTTCAAACACACGCTCTCACATATAATTTAATTGGTTTAGAGATACTCATAACTTTCACAATGTCAGGTTTTAATGACGAAAGATGTAATATGAGCATCATGACACGATATCTATTAATCATTCATGGCAGAAAAAGTACTTGAATGATTATATCGTGTTTCTTTTCTGTAATATTGTTAGTGATTATTCAACATAGTAACTGAACATTAATGACAAAAATTAATTACGACATCGCTTTCACTTTCCAATCACCTGACGAAATATTATACTTTATTAAGTTCCGTATTTCTTGTTCAAATAAAAATTCGGAGTTTCGATCATACTTTTCCGTGTCCAATTAATTGGCGAACTCGATTTGCTAATTAAATCAGCTGAAAATAGATGATAATAATTTCGATATTGAGACGCGAACGATTGAGAACAAAAATCTCATGAATATTTTGAATATTATTCGTGAACTTTCGTATCGAGTTCGCAAATATCATGGAAACAAACACCGAGAAAGTCGATTGTTATTAAACAGACTACGATTTGCTCGATTGCGATGATAATAACAGATGGACACCTCCGACATTTGTACCAGACGAGGTTTTGTAACGGAATTGTATACTATTAACGCGCGTATAAAAATAGATGATACGTACATTCGATGTCCGAATATAGTTCCCGATTTGCAGTTAACAAGTTGCCGTGTAATATCGTTGTTCTCCGGAGATTCATAGTAGATTTGATCAAAAAAAAAAGAAAAGATATCCTGTATAATGCAAAAGATAGGTGGACGTGTTAAACAACTCAGCATACCGTGAGCCTTGCAATCTCAATGAATTTAATCACTCAATTATCCAGAGGATGTAAAGATTGTTTTGTACTGAAAATTCATTCATTATGTGTACTGATATTTTATAAGAGATCTATCGTTTTTTACTATAAAAATATAAGTTTGGTAATAACTGAATTACCCAGTGATAGCAGTCCCTGGATAAGTTTAACATTCATTACTTACTTAAAAAACGTAGAAATAGATAACTGTATAAAATTTATAAAAAAGAGCGAATAAGAATGACTCTCTGTATTATACTATTAGTTGGACTCATAATGAGTATAACATCCAAGAGGAAGACCTCATTCGTCACACACTAATATCTTGAATATTTAATTTTCATCATCAAAAACTGAAAAATGCTCTTTATTACAAATTATATGACAAATACATTTTTAATTCCTCGAATCTACGATTCAGTACTCCATCCATCTGGAAAGAAAAGTGAAAAGCTAAGGCAATGGTCATTTTCTAATAACGTAAGGGATACAAATGTTTCTCGTAAAAAATGTCGAGATCTGTGAAAAACAAGTTATTTAGGCGTCCATTGTGCAACTGAACGGATCTCATTAATAAAAAGATAATAATATGCCTTGTATATTTTTATTCAAACTAATTATACTTAAGAAGCATTTAGATAGACTGACAAGAGACTGCTCGACATCGTGTTCACTGCGATCGTGGTTCAAAATATTAATTATTATCACTACCCTCACTACCAAGTAACACGTGGAATGTATAGATTTGTACTTGTTTGTTTATTTATTGTTAGGTAGCGAACACAAAAAAAAAGAATGAAAATGAAGCCACGAATAAAAGAGTCGTGGCACGAGGAGGATCGCAACTTTTAGATCATCCTTGACTGTTTAGCCTTTAGATTTTATTAGCTACATAAGAACGACTAAAGCATTATTTTGTTGATATATATATTGTATGACATTATTGATTATAAATCATGAATAATCTGTAAATATATGAGACCAACGCAACGTTGTTTATTTTTCTGGATGAGCATCCGTAAAATCCTTATAATATTAAATCAAGACGAGTTAAACAGAAGTGTTTAACATCTGTTTTCTTCGAATGTACAAATTATTATTACATTTATCAGTTTATTTAATCTGGAAATAATCAGACAAACTTTTCGTCGTCTAAAACCGTTCCGTTTTGTTATAAATTCTTTGATAACAATCAAAACAAAATATTTCCTTTTGAACATTGTTGTATGAACCTTTATAAAAAGATTCATTTCTTAAAAATTCTAANCAAATTATTATTACATTTATCAGTTTATTTAATCTGGAAATAATCAGACAAACTTTTCGTCGTCTAAAACCGTTCCGTTTTGTTATAAATTCTTTGATAACAATCAAAACAAAATATTTCCTTTTGAACATTGTTGTATGAACCTTTATAAAAAGATTCATTTCTTAAAAATTCTAC